CAGAGTTCATTGCTATTCTTCAGGTAAAAGCGTATTTCGCCCTTGACAGCAATTAGGTTAACTTGAACTGAGATTCCAGTCTTGAGGCTTCCGGTCAGAGTGCCGAGGCTGATTCCAAGTACGGAGACTGACACAGAAGCTTCATATGTGCTTGTATCCACGTAGCCAGAGACCTGTTGAGTAGCACGGTGTAAGATACGAGACCAGATATTGCAAGGTATAAAATGAGCTTATTTGGATCCTTACTGTGAGTACCCCAAAAAAGCTGACTGGCCCGAAGTTAATACGGGCTTCAGGCTGTGGGGATACGGTTTTGAGAGAAGATGCAACAGCTTCTGCATCAGATATTTGCGTGGCGTAATAAATGCCATTTGCTGGCTGGCTTAGCTTGACAACAGCGCCTAGTAATCCAGAAATGTAAGGATTGAGAGAGTATCCCAAGTGTAGGAACGTACTCACCTTCAACGTAACCAGACATCTTATTCTTGCCTTTAGATTAGTACTTAAGTGGATAATCCTTTGAGTCAGATGGTTTTCCAATCAATGGATATGTTCAAAAATTGACAGACTGAGAGCAGATCTGCCTACATCCTTTATAGCTTAGACCTCACTGAGTTACTGAAAAATGTTCGCCACATTCAATTCTCTTCTAGGAAGGAAGTGACCTAGACTTACGCCGAACAGACAGGGGAGAATCTTTGACCGAATAGACATAATGACAAAAATTCGGGTCACGCTGACAGAATAATCAGGGAATCAGGCGAAGTCTCAGTTAGTCCGTGGGTGGCGCGCCTTTTCCCGGAACGGAAACAGAATGAGGCACACGGCGCACGGCGCACGGCGCAAGTAGAAGGCCAGAGAGGTTTCTAAAATGTATGCTTTTTGCGACAGAGAGAAGATACTGTGACATTTCCTACACGATCGTGTTTGCGGTGGTCTAATCGTCTAACTTCATCTTTAAAGGTGCCCTAAGTTCCATCTTTGCTTGATATCGGTAAGTCTTGGAATAGGGCTTCCTGCATTCAATTTAGGTAATTCTCAGATGAGAAGCACATTACATTAAACCTAATCCTAGCAAAAGTAGAGACAATATTTGATGAGGTCAACGGAATTTTCAAGGTATTTCTATTAATCTAGGGTAGTATTGTATCCTGACTTAGAAGATTGAAAAAGCATGTCTGGAGGCTTTTAATCTCATAAAACGAATCTTCCCGATTGTGGCTAGATTAATGTAATACGTCACTGATCGATCTAGAGCCATAATCTGCATTTTCAGCTCCTCAGTCGTAGGCCCAATTCGAGAACCACTCTTTGTACCAGCATTCGGAAATCTCGAGCTAAAATCCGAATTTGTCAAGAGAAATTTCATTTAAGTAGACTAAAATGGTTTATATGTACTAACCCTGCTGCTTCCCCAAGATTCCTCAGCTTATTGTTCTAGCTTACCTACCTTTCGGCGACATGTCTCCACTGCATCGGACTAACCTGGAGGGTAGTCAATACATTCCTGATTATGCGTCCATAAATCTATCAGACTTGGACATTATAATGGGAAGTTCGACAGTAATGGACCTCTCTCAAAGCTTTCTGAGCGACACATCGAAGCATTTGTCCTCTACCTTATCTCCGTACCCGAACAATATGTGCGCCGGGTTTGCCTTGAATGATCCGTCGCAGTTCCAAACGATTGAAAACCCCCCTTCACAAGATATTTATGGACCTACGACACAGAACATTGATTGCATCAGTGCTACCTACGGGGACGATGAGCACACCACCAATGGGAGGATAGAGCAGACCTCCACCCACCAGGTCCACGAAAAGGCTGAATCAGACTTTGCAATAATATTTTCTACAGATGCTTCAGGCTGCAGCAATATGAAGCCTGGAGATGAGCTATGCCTTGAAGATGGTAAAAAAAGGTGAGTTACCACATCTGTTCTTGGTGTTGACGTGGTCTTTTCATCTAAATCTCTAGATATCGTCCTCAGAAGTCATGCTGCACATCTCAGGTGTAGGTGGGAGGGATGCAACTATGCAGGTACCTTCGGAAGAGAGAGTGATCTTTTGCGGCACTTGAAGACTGTACATATCTGCAAGGATATCCACTTTTGTTCAGCCGCAGGTTGCCAAAAGTGGTTCAACCGACGTGATAATATGAAGGAACACGTTCGCAGAGTGCATCGCGACAATTTGGTCGCTAACAACCTTCATTCTTTGTGAACCGCTTTTTCTCTTCCTGTCAATGCATCGATCCGTTCAAGGCTCGTGTGTGATTAATTACACACAATATGGCTGCTTCGAGGTATTCGCATCTGTATGTGTATCCTATCAAGGAAAGATGTCCAACATTGGCTAAGAAGCTTTTCATCGTACTTTTGTCGTCCAAATCTACTGAAGACAAACTTCCCGAAGCCAGAAAGTGTAGGTGATGTTGCACTTTCTTTGTCCTCGGGTGACTTGCCGACACGTTTATAGGCCCGTGGATAGTGGATTCGGGCGGTAATGCGGGGACCCGCGCCCCGTGCCTCCCAACCAAACGGAGGGGTCCCGCTTTCGGCCAACAATAAAGGTTGACGGCCCGACCCATCGCCGGAATCAGGAATATGACCGCCCGCTTTAAGATTCCTCCTGGCGTCGTGTGACTTTCACGTCACGGGTTAGACTCACGAGGCAAAAGGGTCACAGTCGTCAACCTCGCGTACGGTACAGAATGACATATTCCAGACCCTTTAAAGATTTCCAGCTTTGAGGTTCTTCCACCTCAGTCGGCTTTTTTGGCAATCTTGCTTTCCCCCCCCCCCCCCGCCCCGTTGCTTGGAGCATCTTGATCCGTAGGCTTTCTCTGTTCAATGTAGAGTATGGCCCATTCTCCCCCCTTTTATCATGGCGTCTAGAGCGTTCCTGCTTCACAACCTCCGTGATTCTTATCCGTAAATCGCCCAGGACTTTCCTTGTATTGTTTAGCCAACTCATGTTTTAGTATTCAAGGGAGAGCTCAGGTGCCCGTCAGGCTCCAGAATTGCCACCTCGGGTACGAGATGAGTATGGGTATCGCTACGATGACAATCAGGCGCAAGACTTTCTCCACCCTATGAGGCGCTTTAGGTGAATGTGACAGATAAGCTAGCAAACCTGGGCCGCCGCGCGCCTTACGGCTCGATTACTGTGGCAATGTGTATCATTTTCGTCAGAACAGGACAGATCCAGACATCTGAACTGACCTTTTGCGCCGCGAGCCTCTCTACGGCATACCGTCTTGTTGCGCCTTGTTGCGCCTTGTTGCGCCTATCCAGGCGTCGCTAGTATAAGTTATATTTCTCCCTTACGGGAGGGACCTACTATAAGATCGGGCACCTGTCCCACTCCTGTAGAGCAAAACACAGAGTCTGATACAGAATTCCCAGTACCTAGGAATTACCATATCATCCTTCTAAAGCCATCAGCTATCTTCTTCATCATCTTCACCATGAAGCTTCTGCCTACCATAACTATATTTACGGTCGCTGTCTCTGCTTGCAGTGACCCTGCCTACCGATGCAAGAATCCCCAAGGAAGTAAAGATGGCGACCACTCCAAAACCGCCGAGATCTGCGCAGAAATAAGCAATGGCGCAAGTATGTGCTATTGCTATGGCGCAGCTGAGGATTACTGCTATCTTAAGAACGCTGATAATATGCAGAAGTTCTTGGACTACTGCAAAGCGGATGCACCATGGTATCCAACGGCCTGTTAAATGATACCAGCTTTATGGACCTACAGGAAACGGTCTGTAAAGAAAGGCACTACTTCCTGACTCAAGATTGCTGATAGTCATGTCCAGGAAATCGGTATCTCAATTCTTGGAGTCATTGCAATGCTCATCATATCTACAGATGAGGAGACCGCTCGTTTCTCTTCAATTCACATTACTCCTTCTTTTCTCGCTTATCATTCCTGGTTAATGTTTCTACCGCCAAAACCTTCGTTATTCGGAGACCCTGGTGTTTCGTGCTTCCAAGGCCTGTCTTTCATGTGTTGATCGCTGCCCCAGAACGGTAACATGGCCTTTTTAATTAGGACTTCAGGATAATGCAGATTAAGGTTTCAGGAAAATGTCTATTACATTCCCTAGTCGGGCTACTAGACACATTTAGTTATAAAAGTATAACCAAAACAGGAAATAATCTATCGTGTGCATAATTATGTCGGCTTTTCTACCTACGAGTCCCCATTTAAGGAGGTTTCTCGCTTCTCTAAGAAGTCATAAATTGCTCGTTTTCTGCCTACTATTTTCCTTGAAGAGTTATGATCCGGTCCGTGTTGGCGTGGATTTCCGAGGTTGAAATAAGGGCTCACCGTGACAGTATATATCAGGATTAAGTATAGCACACCATTTTTACCAAGAACATACCTCTATAAGTCAACGCACCCCTGACTCCAGCGGTTTCCGAGACCTAAAGGACATCGTGCTAGGATTACATACTAACAGGCATGGGCTGGATTACTTCTTATTATATATAGGAATAAGAAGCCTATTTCCTGATGCTTCTAGAATACTTTAGATCTCCGTGAATGATGCTATTTAGGGCTATTTGTCTGGACTTTCATCAACTCAGGGGCCCTATTTTCCCTTACATAGCTTATGAATATACTATCTTTCAACTAGATAGGTCTTGCCGCAGCAATTTACATGAGTATATACAAGAATATAGGATAATCGCATCGACTCCAGATTTATACAGTGAAATGTATGGCTAGGATCATACTCTATTTATATTCTATCGGATATATTTTAGATGCATAATTTGGAAGGTAGTTAGTGGGTGCGCGAATAAGATCTTCCAAATAATAGTGCCTATTTTGTCGTTGAAAAGGAGAAAGAAGGTCCAGAGGCACGGGGTATCGTGTTCAGTAATTTTTCTTTGAGACAAAGCCAATAGATTTAAGCATACTGCATCGTCAGGAACACAAAACGGATACAATATTAGATAAGACAGATCATAATAAAGTGTTCATAATTACTTCTCCAGATTCTTGATTCCTTCTTCAAGTGAAGGCAATTTTTCTTTCCCGATGCCGAGTCGTCGTCTCCACTTTCTTTCCTTCTTAAGCTTTGCCCGTCTTCGCCTGCGTCGTGGATAGTTAATGGGAGATTCACCTCCAATAAATATGAATACATCATATAGTAAAGCTCCAGTCAGGCAGCCACTTATCGTGGCTACCCAGCAGCCCCAGAACCACCAGCCATGGAAGGCCGTGAATGTGGTCTTTCCATACCCCGCCATAAGAGCCACGAGTCGAGGGCCGAAGTCCCGAACTGGGTTCAAACATCTAATCATGTCTACAGATTAGCAATTGATCAGCTCTTAGCCATGAAGAGAGGGAATCTCACCCTCCAGTGCTATAGCCCAAGCAAATACATAAAGCGTAAATGACCAACCCAATCACAAATGAATGCATTCCTGCACCCGGTGGAGCGTTACTGTCATCGCCCATGGCAAAAATCACGCAAAGCAGGATCGCGTCTGCTATAAATTCAGTAAAAAATGCCGTAGCAGAACTGATGTATGCCAGGGGCTCTGTGTAAAATCCTAGACCAGTAGTCCCCGGAGAAACATTCGGGGCAAGGCTGATAATGGCGTCCCGATACAGAATGTATGCTAGTCCGGCAGCAGTAATAGCCCCAAGAGTTTGCGCGAGTATGTAGAGGCAACATCGTGGACCAGGAAATCCGCGAAATATACAAAGCGCGATAGAGATACCCGGATTCAGGTGAGCTCCGGAGATACCACCAGCAAGATAAATGCCAATCATGAATCCCAGGCCCCATGCCCAATTCTCCGAGATACGGCTTCCAGCGTCGATACCTGCAGTTGAAACTGCAAGTGTCCCAGTTAGACCGATAAATATAGCGACAGATGTCTGGAGAGACAAGTTTTAGCCAGTGTATCTCATGATATGGTGGACAAACGTACTGCTAGCCATTCTGCCAATGGCTCCTTTAGGTAGTGTCGGTACTTGACCCATGTATTGAGAAATTCCTCAGGGGGTGTATTTGACGGTTCGACTTCATTGACACCAGCCTTATGAGTAGACCAATTACAGCTTAATTCTGATTCAATTGGGCGAAGGAGACCATCTGACTGCGGGGCGTAAACTGCACGTTGTCTGCGCGTGCCCTCTTGTGCAGCGGCAGCATAATCCTGATAGACTTGTTGGGAGGAGTGAAGCCCTGCACTACTCGACTGTTTCGAGGCCAAACCAGGCGTCGAACCCAGTTCTGGAGCAGGCTCAGACCCGCCAGGGGGATTTACCTCACACGCTGATTGATTCTTGCTTTCATCTCGTCGCATTCCGGGCCTCACGACGCGCGGCAGAGGTTTTGCTAATCCCCAGACAGGGTGACTGTTATGCTGCCCATATCGTGGGTTGAGTTGTTGATAATCTGGATGGATGTAGACGTTCCCTTGGCGGCGGGAGGGATTTTCCATTTGGGGACTCGCCAACGAGTGGAATGCCCTTGTAGTGGTACTGTTCTGGCTGGGACCATTCATCTCCACTTTTGGACCTTGTTCTACTCCGTAATAGACACTGCCCGACTCAGTCGGCTGGCGTGTTACGGTGGCCCTAGCTGAACATGATGTGAGATGCTGCTCATGTTGTGACATGGAGAGATGACCATCTTCACTCTGGTCATTTTCAGTGGATGGTTTTGAGTTCATCGGGCGCAGATGTCGTTCCAGAGGTTGGCCAATCTTTCCGGGATCTTTTTCCGGGGCATCGGAATTCGAGTGACTCTCCGTCTCTTCAATCGAATGTAAGCGTGGCTCTGTATGTTCCTTGTGGGTATTCTCAGGTCTCTGTTCGTTCATGGTGACCACGGTGTGAGGAATGATTGCGCTAGCTCAGAAAAAAGAGAAAGGTCTTGATACTTTAAAAGGTAGGGAAAATTCAGGACTGCCAGAACCAGAGCGGCACCCCGTTTATGTCATGAGTCAGTCCGTCAAATACAGCTTCAGGCTGTAGCTTTTGAAGATCCGCTGTGTTTATCCACATTTTGACAGTTTATCAGGTTTCACGTCCAGTGACATGGCCCATTTTGCCGCACTGAAATCAGAACAACTGGGTATATCGTGTGGCGTAAACAATGGGGCAGACTCGAATTTTCCTAAGCTTCGTATGTATTCCGGCAATGACATCAGCTCAGTTTCTGACTCTTACCTTCCCTTCTACCTTAGATCTTTCAGACCAGCCTTGTTCATCGGGTCCACGGGCCGACCAAGCGAGAACGTCGCGGATTCTAACCCCGGTACCTGACCCACCAATCACGGCTCGTTCTTCTACACGCCCACGTCCCGCCAATCAGCACTCGAGGCAAGTTCGGAGACATGATGAGATTCGGTATAGAAGAATATCTACGTAGGCGAAGGCTTGCCTTACATCTTCCAGTAAGCATATAAAACGGTCTCTGGGATACTGGTGTTATGTTAAATCTCTACTCGTAGTAAAAGCTGAAGGGGCAGGCGAATTCATGAATTTCATTAAACCCTATCCCATAGGGGTAAATTGGATGGGGTCGACGCGATTTGTTTTGTTCGATTTTAGTCCATTCGATTTAGATTTTTGTACTCCATTCCGTTTTACCTTCCCGGGCCGCTAAGGACTCTAAAATTGGATAGTTCAGAGAGCTGGGTGTGATTTATAAAATATTATAATTTAAGAGGAATTCATATGAAATTGGGGTTATGGTGAGGTTTTTAAAATAGCGATTTTTTTGATGGGGTGTGGTTGCGGGTATCTAGTGTAGTGGGGGAACTGCTGACGAATTTTGGTGCTGTTTTTGATTGGTTAGGTCGCCGGTCCTTACTTAGGGATTCGGCCTTGTTGGTCTCTTTGGTCCGGAGTACTAGTTTAGAGGGTTGTTTTTTATATGGTCTGATCGGCTTAAAAAGGACACACACACTTTATAGAGATAGATATAGGTATTGTTAGATTATGTATATAGCTATATGAGCTTCTTGATCGGTCAGCCACCCTACGGTCCGGACCGGACCATCCTTTTGTTACGCGGAGCCGACTGGTCACTGCGAGTTAGAACGTCCACGGGTTATACTTGCCTAGTTCCAACTGCTGATTCCAAGAGTATCTCTCAATCGTACCGTTGCTTCGCAAAGCCTTACTGCGGAATAGACCCTGTTGAGTATCTTGCAGAACGTGCCAGAAGTGCGCGCCAAGTAAGTCAATCACTAAGTGTTGCCACAGAGTGAATCCCCTACTTGTAGGTTGGGTTGTCTTAAAGGTGAACTGTGAAGTACAAAGTACTAAAGGTAGTAACCAAGTAACAATGTGCAATTGATCGCGAAGAACTAAATACATGATGCTGAATGAGTGTCCTTATATATCCCGTCCTTCGTGTCCCGTGTTGGGTGTTGGTACTACCGTGGGTAGTTCCCATTATATCGTGGATAGTTTCTGAGTATATCACGGATAGGTTACGTTATATCATGGATATAACGTTCCTGTTTATTGTCACGTGATCGTTAGGCTTCCTGGTAACGTAGGAATTGTGCCTTGTATCGTTATCCAATCCTGATCCTTGCTGACTGATCCAAGTTGATTGGCCATCAGTGTTCCTTCCCCCCGCATTAGCGTTGTTGCGTGAGAGATTCGTAACACCTTTTTCCAGCGGAAAGATCCCTCCGTATCTACATCTTTAACAGAGAGTTTTCCCATGATAAATCGGCCAATCTAGGCCACGGATCATAATATCTAGCTCCTTCTTAATCTATTAATTCATCGAATCATTAATTATATTATTAATTTGATCAAAACGCTACTGCCTAAACTGCCCTAATCGTGTACTTAAGCACCCCTTCACTTATTAGTTTAGGAGATTAGATTTTATCTTATTAGATTTAATCTTAAGACCTTCTTTTAATATTCTTTTACAATTAGATATTATAGAGAAATTCCTATATATTAGAGGACTGATAATCATATTGAATTAGCTCTATTCGCTAGCGGAAGCTCTATTTCTCCCTAGTAAAATTAATTCTATATAGATCTCTCTTTAGATACACGCTTCTTATAAGGAGATTAAATAGTGAGCTACTAGGATATAAAAACAAACTATACTAGATGATTTAGTTTTGAATAAAAGAACCGATAGGATTGCCGACGTCTACAAGTATATTCGATATGAGATTGCTTTCGATCCCTAAGTCTTGAGCTAAATTTTAATTTTGCCTTGAATGTACAAAATAGATTTAGCTAAGTCGAAAATAAGATGATTTCACTTAATACTAGTTATAGAGGACAGAGCACTCTAAGGCTATTGTATACCGACACACGGTGATTCGCCCAAGCCACTACCCCTTTTGTTTGTGGAACAAGGAACTTGCCGCCAAAGTCCGCTTACGCTGCTAGCTAACTACTGGTAATCCGAGGTAACATATTAAAGAGCAATCTATATATAGGTTCAGATCCATTAGAGTTATTGAAGAAAGATAATATACGGCTGTGCTAAAGTTTTGACGAAGAACGTGGCCTCCGACGCTATTTGCATAATATCCACAAGCTAAGAAAGCTATATAGCTAAGTCCAAAGCGCCAGAGCAAGGGAAAGCATGTTTATAAGATGAGGGGAAAATAAATAAAAAAGCCAGAAGAGTGATGCCCCAAAAGAGCTCCTTTTTACCGCTATCCCCAGCCCACGTCACGAATAGGAGTAATCATTGTCAAATAGCAATTTCATCCCCGTTCCCACATTGCATGCCTTTGTTGAGAAATATCCAGCGAAATATCATTGTTCGGTTTAAGCGATAAGTCAACTAAAATCAGTAGAACTAGCTCGGTTGATTCCTTGATTTCTACACCAAGCTCTCCGCTCAACTCGCGACCAACAGCTTTTCACAACCAAAGGACTGTATTTCTCCTTCTATTGACTTCATTCTGCCTCATCCAATTATTCAATCTTCGGCTGGGGCTTTCTTCGACCTCCAATTCAGTCCAACGCGAAGTCACGACGCGGCCTTCCTTGATAACTGCCAGCAAGTGCTTATCAGGCCGATCAAACACAGTGATATCATCCAAAGGGTTTGAGTTCAATATGAGCAAGTCAGCGGCAAACCCAGGCGCAACCTGACCGAGGAAGCTACCCTGTCCTAGCATCCGGGCAGGAGTGGTAGTAGCGCTTCGAAGAATTTGCAACGATGACTGCACAGTGCTCCGAATGGTGAACTCTTTACTCTGGGCGTAATGCAAGGGCCCTAATAGGTCCGTTCCAAAGCAGATATCCACTCCAGTCTCACTTGCGAGCTGCAGAGCATGTAAACCTTTATCCAGGACTTCGCGGTTCTTCTTTGCAGAGACTGCGGGAAGGAACCCGCTAAACTCTGGAGCGGCCATAGTCGCATATGTTACTAAAGTGGGAGTAAGAAAGACACCGTAATCCTTCATCATCATTGCCGTTTCTTCATCGAGGAGATTGCCATGCTCAATTCCCTTGACTCCTTGCCTAATGGCCTGCTGGATTGCTTGCGGTGTATACGCATGGCTGGTAACGTATGTCCCCGCATTGTTGGCTACGGTGACAATCGCCTTGATTTCCTCGTCGGAGAACTGAAGGTGCTGTACCTGGTCCGTTGGACTGGCAACGCCACCACCTCCCATGATTTTGATAAAGTCGGAGCATTGTCTCAGTTCCTCACGGGCATATTTCAGACACTGATCCACACCATCCACGATGCGCCCAACTCCATTCACATGACCCGCACAGCATTCGTTCGGATCGTGTTGCTGCCGACGGTCTCCGTGGCCTCCTGTCTGAGAGAGGGCATGACCAGCTATGAATAGCCTCGGGCCGGAGATGACACCCTCTTGGATTGATTCTTTCAGTGCAATAGACGCCCCTCCGCAGTCTCGTACGGTCGTGAACCCACGGTCCAGCATGGACCTGCAAACACTTGGTTGCCGGAGGATACTCTGATTGCTGCTCATTTCCTTCATGTCTCGAAGATTCAATGACCCAGGGACTGCCGAGATGTGGACATGGCTGTCAATCAGACCCGGGGTGATGTATTTGCCCTTCATATCGATCCGCACAGTATTGGAGTCAACACTGTCAACCTCTTTTCCAGTTGTATCAATTGACGAAACAAGGTCATTGGAAAGTTTAATGGTGGCGCCTTCGATGACTGTTCCGGAGACAGGGTCAATGAGGTTGGCAGATGTAAAGATGTACGTCCTCTGGGAACATGGAAGCCATGGCTTGACAATATGTTCAAGGTCGAGCTGACCAACTGCCATGCTTGGTGATGGTGAAGAGCAAAGAAATTATAGGAAAGAAAATCTCCAATAAGGCGCAAAATGGAACCCGAGGTGCTAGTGGGGAGGAGCAGCTACTTAAGCAAGAAACAGCTCACTAGGATAGGTAGCTAAAAGCATTACTTGTTGCTGTGCCAAGAATAATTTGAGCAAAAGGTGTAGCTGCGGGAACCGTTGCCGCATAATCAATCGGGCTTGGTCGAGGAGAAGAGGCGTCAGCGGCCTAGACCGGCGTTTGGTATTCCTGTGGCGAATCGCTTCGGCCGCAACTGATTTGAGACTGCGGGTACGAGTACCCGCAGCCTTATGCCACAATCTCGCATAGAGCCGATTCTCTCCATTTTTGATTGGTCATGGAGAAATTGAACCAGCAGAGTTCTATGATTTTAATCATCATTGGCCCAGATCACTTATCTTCGTAGAACTATCGCCCCACGCACCCACCGGGCCGGGGTTCCCCAGTTGGAACTATACTGAACGCGGAGTCCGGGGATCCCCGCTAATTTCGTGAAGTAGATAGATATAAAAGCCGTTGAACATACCCATGACCTTCACCCATTTGCTGATACCTCAAATGTCTTGGACGTTTTGCATTCAGGAGTACCATTGAGCTCGTCAATAAACCATGTCAACCCAAGCGAAAAACGAATTCACAGATATGAAATCGATGGAGGATGATGAGCTAACAGCTGGTCCTCAACCAGGGACGCTAGCAGTCTTGATTGATCCCGAGGATGAAAGTCGCGTGAGAAGGAAGATTGATTGTGTAGTTCTGCCATTGGTTAGTGCGTTGCATTTTACATGGTGTTATAAGTGCCGCTATGCTAATAATGGGATACTCAGATGTGTCTTGTCTTCTTTTCTCAGTGTAAGTAATTTTACGCCTTGGTTTCAAAGCCTACAAGGCTGAGAACGCAAAACGCTTTCCCGGGGGACCCTTGCTGATGTCCCGCAATTAAGACCTCGACAAGCAGAGCCTGAGCTATGCTAGTGTTTTTGGAATGATAGAAGAGCTAGGACTTCACGGAACTCAGTACTCCTGGTTGGGGTCTATCTTTTACGTGGGGCAACTAGTGGCAGAATTCCCGGCTATGTACCTGATGAGCCGCCTGCCTCTTGCGAAATTCGTTGCTTTCATAGTGTAAGTCTGGATGTTTCCTTACAAACATCGGCAACTTGAAAACTGACTGATTGCAGGATCCTATGGGGTGGCATCTGCATGGTGAGATCTCTAGGTAGGCCCAAATTTACACGCGCAGTAGGACTGATGGAATATGATAGTGTCTGGCAGCTGCAACGACTTTCCGTTCCTTTCTTGGTGTTCGATTTGCCTTAGGATTGGCTGAAGGCGCCGTCTCACCTGCCTTTGTGACTCTCACCAGTATTTGGTATAAGAAGAATGAGCACCCATTGCGTATTGGGTAGGAAATCTCATACTGAACCCCAATCTTGACCTTTCCTTATCCGACTGACAACACTGGAAATCTAGTCTATGGATCAGCTGCAATGGACTGGCTCAGGTCATCGGCGCCTTGATGATGTATGGCCTCGGTCACCGGAATATGGCTATTGCCCAATGGAAGGCTATGTTTATCATCTGTGGTGCTCTGACATCTTTCATTGGCATTCTATTTTACTTTTTAATGCCAGCTGGTCCCGAAACAGCGTGGTTTCTCACATTCGAGGAGCGGCTGGTAGCAACACGGAGAATGCAAACAGAAACCGAAGGGGGCGACAAGACAGATTTCTCCATTCCACAATTGAAAGAAGCTGCCACGGATATTAGGGCATATCTGAGCTTCCTGTTTGGCATTCTCATGACACTACCTGCGCCAGTTATTGCGGTAAGTGTGCAGTTTCTCCAATGGATCTGGAGCGCATGCAAATGCTGACAGTATTTGAACGGTAGTTTGCTTCACTTATTATCTACTTCCTAGGATATTCTAATTTTGAGACTATGCTGTACACGTCACCCGCGGGTGTAGTTCAGATTGTCTTCATATGGGTTGGGATTTTTCTCTGCTATCTATGGCCAAATCGTCGGTGTACCATTACAATTGGGCTCACAATTGTTCCACTCACTGGAATCATTCTGCTCTTTGTGCTTCCCTTGTCATCAGGTTGGGGCATGATTGTTGCGTCATGGTTGGTATGTAAATAACTTACTTGAAGCTTCCAGCTAGGGTTGGCTAACTCCATCATTTCTCATTTTATAGGCCTCTGTCATCTCAAACATCTTCTCGATTCTGCTTAGTTTGAACGCCTCCAATACTCGCGGAAACACAAAGAAAGCTATCGTCAATGGCCTATTTTTCGTTGGCTACGCTGTTGGTGCCATTTGCGGACCATTGCTCTGGAACACTGAAAATGCGCCCAGGTACCGCAGTGGTCTTATCTTGGCTCTTGTTAGCTGGATTGTGTTTATTCCAACGGTGGGAGTATATTGGGCTTCGTGTGTTTACGAGAACAAGCGTCGATATACAGTCGAGGGGGATATCGCCGAACATGTGGCTGATATAGCTGGAAAGGATTTGACTGACAAACAAGACAAGCAATTCCGATACACTATTTGATCTATTTCCTTGTCCATTGAGCATGTGGGAGAGATCGAACGGATGAGGACTATGAAATGTAGAGACGAATGTCAATTAGTCCAGTTAAGGAGATTATACATATTGACATTTCTCAAACTCGGCTGGGTTTACTTCTGTTTTGAGGTAAAATGCGTGTATCGAGATTGGGCTAGCATGCTTTTAAGTATCTTAAGTGGATTTACTTATAATAGGGAATAGGCTTTCTATTCTTGTAAAGTTTTTAAATGCAGAACTCAATGGAGAAATTATAAAAGAAGACTGAAAATGGGAGTGTTATCGTACCCGTGGCGGAGACCACCCACCGCTATCGCTTTTGGGTCGTCCACCTTCCAATGATAAAAACTTTCCAATGATAAATCCCCCCCCCCAATTACCTACTATTTCCTACCACCAACACCCGCCACCATGGCTAGTCAATACCAGGCAGGGCCCTTTAAAAATTAGCAACCAGAAGCCCCTACATATACCAGTTATCCGGACTTGCCCCTTGACAACCAACCCCTATAATAAGCTATCATTATATTATTAATATAGCTAATAGGCCTTCAAGATCTTATTAATACTATTAAATTATCATATAGCCATGGTGGTGGGTGGTGGTGGTAGGAAATAGTAGGTAACGGGGGGAAATTTATCATTGGAAAGTTTTTATCATTGCCCTGGAAGGTGGACCATCCAAAAGCGATAGCGGTGGGTGGTCTCTGCCACATGTAGTCCCTTAGCTGAGCTGCCTGCTCACTAAGGACCAACGTTGTCCCAATTTAACATCTCGCTCGAGTAAAGACAGTCGAATCCAAGTAGGTGCAATTCTGTAAAAGAACAATTCTCAAGAGAAGTCTCCATTTCATCAAAAAAGGGCATTCTCGAGATTTCTTCGCCCCCTTGATGATGCGAGACGTCCACGTCTTCAGGGTCCACCTCTGGATGTGACCCCAAAAAGATAGAATCAGGCGGGTGAAAAGGCTGCGTTGATGATTGCATGAAAGAGTCTTGGCTTTTTGGCAAGTCTCCAAACTCTGGTGAACCCGAGACCCTCACAGAGCATGATGTTTCATGGTCTCGGCGGTACATTGATGCCAAAGCCTTGTTGACAACGACCTGGAAGTCGTTGACATACTTGAGGCTATTTTTCGCATAGTCACTGCCGGTGGCCATGTATCGCAAAGCATCCATTGCCATTCTGATCTTTGAGAACGATGTGAGACGTGGGTACAGAATACTTTCCAGGAGAACGACAACGGCTGCAGAACTGCAGGTGTGGAAATCAGTGTAAGAGAATCGACCTAGTTGCCCGCGAGTTCTAAGCAAATTGATGAGGTCAATTATATGCGTAGCATGTTCAACGCAAGAATCTGATAATTCATCGCATTCCTTGCTGGTCACGCCGTCGACTTTGCTGGACTCTGTCTTGCTAAGAAGACGTCGTACCCTACCGATCAAGGCAGCGCGACCGATAACAATCCATACCATGGAGTAGTGAAGCTGCAAATGGACATTTAGTCGCAAGGAAGGACCATTCAGTGTTTTCAATTGAGATGGTAAGGCCTCTTTCCAAGATAGAAGTTGATTTTGGATATCTCTCGAACTTTTGTCCAAGGTCCTGTTGAAAGAGTTAGTAAGCCACCTGCTTGAGGGAGGGCTACCGTAGATCGGAATCCTGATTGGCTTCTAACCTCGAGCAAATTGTCTGGTTGAGTAAAAGGGTCAATTTTGTGTATGCCAGCAGTCTTTCCGCTCTGTATGAAAATGGAGTATCCAGGTCAGGCCTTCTCTGGGGAAAAGGGCAGTCGATATCGTCGCTGTGAAGCGTCTCAGGGTAGCCAAGCGAGAGAGCAACCCGTCTAAAATTTCAATAAGGAAGTACTTGGAGTCGAGGATGAGACAGTATCCATACCTTTCAATGCTATACGTCGTCCAGAAAACACGATTGCGAATTTCTGAAAGCGTCGGGGATAAATCTGACCTTGCTGGCTTTCGATGAAGGCCTAGGCAGATGGCGATGCGTAATGAAAGACCGAGATAGGTGTAGCAAGTGTTGGTGTTATGGATTGGCAAAACATACAACGCAAGTAGTAGACAGCCCAGCAGGCCTTCCAAGCATGGCGAGGCTACAATGTGAGGCACAAGTGTCTGCGCATGCTGGAAATACCTCATCCCTGGAATACCTGTCTGCGCCGCTGTCATTTTTTCTGGATTGTCCAGATGATCAGCCTGGTAGAGATGGACAAACTGACTTCCCGTGGCAAAAACAGCCAGGGCCAAACAGATGAATTTGGGATTGGTCACATTCGGTGAGAGCCCGCTATCATATAATCCGAATAGCTGGTCTCTAAATGAAGGTTCGTCAAAATAGTACCAGTTAGCCTCAGCATAAAAGAAGAAAGCTGAAACAAGAGCTTCGCCCGTAGCTCGAGAAGGAAAGTCCTTCAATATTCGTCCCATGAGGACATTCTCATCTCCGTAATCTGATTCTTCAGTTGGGTAAAAAGGAGTCTGGTTGAGTGAAACAATTAGCGGTCAGAAAAAGGCCCCCCAGAACAAAATAAATTGCAATATCACAACATACAGCAGCCTCTATGAGTTCCACTGTCTTAGTTTGGGAAACTGCTGCAGTGGCATGCGCGAGAAAATCTCTATGCGCCAACAAATCATCACCTCCAGCTAGGATGTCAGTCAAATGAAGTACAATGTTTGAGTCAATTCTCGCCATACTCGGTTTTTGCGTTTCCTGTTTGGGATAAGCGTTTTCGGACGTGGATGTAGACTCATGAGGCGACAGGTATCTGGTATTTTGGCAGACCGCACAGCCCTTTTTTGAAGTCCCCTCCTCCCCAAATGTTCGGCTCGAGTCCATGATTATCTCCAGGAGAAAAGAAGAATGGTGTGCTTTCAGACCAATCTCTGGATATGACATGTTAAAACGTGCCACAACATCCTCATGGTCAATGCTAGTGTGGCTGCGAGGAATCAGATCGTATTACAATGAAAGGAATAGGTGGCTTCCTGTACTTACTGAGATGTCGGTGGAGATGGGCTATCCCTATCTTCCTCGAATATGCAAGTCAGGTTTCTGTTTCTACAATTCCGACATCTGTCTGAAGAACCCAGTATGCACCGTCGCTTGCGTAGACGGCAAGAGGTGCAGGCTTTGACAGTTCGTTTGCGTTGATCCAGAGGAACTTTAGGACGATGACGCTTGAAAGAACGCTGCTGCGCAGATTCAGACATTCCGGCCGATGCCCACAATTATACTATCTGGATTCGGGGGCTCGTTACCATGTATTCATAGGCAGTCAGTCGATGAAGGTCTGTGGAGAGGCGGAACTTCCTTGGAATGTGGTCGGAAAATCGTCAACCCTTCTCCACTCTGTTTGCAGTGTTGATTGGCCCCTTCGGACGACCAGAGATGATTGTTCATTATTGATCGTCGGTTTCACGGGTCCTTGCCAGTCATATACTGAGTTGCGAAACATTGAAAATATGGCTGATCTCAAACACCTTAGGGCGCTAACACTATACCTACCATATAAATGCGTCGCGAAACTAGCAGAAACGCAATAGACGAAATCCACTCTGCTGGACTGTGTCGCTTACGTGGGATAAAATAGAAAAACTTTAGTCGCTGGAATAACGTATCTATTAACAACTAGCTAGCACGGCCACTACCATACTATAAATCTAACGAGGTATCGTGTGAAGGCCTGAAGCCAAATTGATTCAATACTGACTAGGGTAACATGAGAAGGAATGGGACAAAGCGGAAATGCAATAAAGAAGGCGGTGGCAGAACGGGAGTGTGGGGAAAGGACTATAAGCGAGTCTCCTTTAGAGTAGGCCTAAAACCTACTTCTCGCCCCTCCTCATCCGAAGCAAAGTGTCGCGACTTGCCTCTAGGGCAAGGCTTATACTGAGTGACCACTTAAGACAAGGGATGGTATCTTAAAGCTAGACAGAGATTATACGGTTGGTTGGTTGGTTGGTTGGTTGGTTGGTTGGTTGGTTGGTTGGTTGGTGTCATTTACACCTACTACCTCGCTCTACGTTGGTTGACCCTTCTAGGCCATAATACGAAATGCGTACCTACAGTAGCATAGCGGGCTATAGTTTATAATTTCACTCAAAAGCGATACACAAGCTACAACTACATCACTGGTCTCATCAGTTTGAGGATATTCACAACTTCATGTACTAAAAGCCGATATTATCATAACAGGTCTAGGGAGTACAAGGTTGCGGATGTGCCTGTTTCACTGACGTTTCCGGGAGTGGCGGCTAGACCTCAAAATGGGGCGGATCCGGATCCAACTTTTAGATCCTGATCCTGATCCGCCGGATTTCCGGATCGAATTCTTCGATCCGTATCCGCACCGCGGTTTTTCACAAGGCGGATCAAGATCGATCCGTTTAGATCCTGATTTGCATAAACTTGCCAAGACTTTCCTTTTGGCTGGATAAAATAATGACAAATCTAAATAAAATACTGTAACGTAGTTCCCAGTCGACTCGGCCACCCGGTCGTTCCGGCCACCCAAAAACACCATACTCAATGCGAGAAATTACAACTTTATATCTCAACAACTATATCTATTTGAGATAAGATATTAAGTATATATAGTAGTGTTTCTAGACTACCGGTATAGTATAGGAAGATTAACTCAAGTAGTAGCAGAGATATGTATTTTTAATCTGAAACGTCAAAATTACGCTGTATTTTATGGCAAAGTATTGAAATAATAGCCTGAAAGCTCTAAAATCTATATATGTTCTTCCTGTACTTTGAGAAATTCTCATCCTAAAATCTTAACAGAAGTAAACCCTGGTTGATATGTAGATGAATTAATATTCAGCATCTTGTATGGTGTTTTGGGGTGGCCGGGACGACCGCGTGGCCGAGTCGACTGGGAACTTTCTAGCATGGCTAATTCCGTCGGGCTAATCCCACCGATTCGAGGGTACGTTTTGTTGGTCCAGAAGGCGTCACTTAGGCCTTTACTGGCGACCATTGCACTGAAAATCAAAAAATGGTGGACTGTCAAACTAGTAACCGTGAATGCGGGATACATAACACAGAGCTTGTCCATATAATAAACCATGGTGATAAGCATTGGAGGCGGGAGATTCGCGTGGAGGGTCACCCAATGAAGGTAGCTGTGTACAGAAATCTGAGGTGGGGATCGCGAGTGAAACCCAGTCAGCTGGTCTTGATGGAGTGGCATCTTGTCGTTGATATTAATCAGTTCCATGATCATGTTCGCAATCAATGTGACCAAATCACGTGTATCAGCTAACTCATATGAAGCCGGCAATGTTTTAGTCCCGGACCCAGTAGGAGACAATCGGGCCGACTGCGGCTGATCCGAATTCACGTCTACCGGGAATGCTAAAGCTTCATTTGTCCATAATGTGTCACATCGATCATTATACTTTCTAGACGGTGAGTTATAGACCGGCATTAAGAAACCGGTATACGGGAGGTAGCCAAAGACTAAAGGCAAAGAGCGCCGCCGGTATTTTGATGCTAATATTTATTAGTGAAGCCTCTATAGGCCTATCCTATGGGGGTAAATCGGATGGGGTCGACGGGATTTATTTTGTTAGGCTCCACTTTTCCGATTTTAGTCTATTCGATTTAGAATTTTGTACTCTATTCTGTTTAACCTTCCCGGGTTACTAAGGACCCTAAAGTTAGATAGTTTAGAGAGCTAGGTATTATTTATAAAATATTATAATTTAAGAGGAATTAATATTAAATTAGGGTTATAGTGAGGTTTTTAAAATACTAAATTTTTTAATAGGGTATAGTTACGGGTGTGAAGGGCTGAAGTAAGACTTAAATTCAATCTAACTAGGCCAATATGCTGTTTACAAAAAGCTTGGAGAAGAGAAGGAGTGGATCAAGCGGAGTAACAATAGAAGTAAGTATATAGGGCGGTGGCAGAACGGAACGTGCGGGGAAGGCTATGTGGTAGGGCCACATAGTAAGAAGCGGGTCTAACCCGTGATATTACCCCCTCCTAGGGGTCGTCGTCGGAGGGATAAGCGTTATGCGGCGTAGGCCGTCTACTAGACGCGCTGGAAGAACGGGAGCGGGAAATAGGGCAATCGGAAATCTAATGATTTGAGGAGCCACAGTAGTAGCACTGGCTAAGTAGGCTTCGTCGAGCACGACGGTATTCGCGATCTTTATCGGTATAGAGTGTAGCTATGTCGATCTTGTCCTTAAGGTATTTTGCAGGATCCTTCGGGGGCCCTAGGGCTGAACTAGTAGGTATAGCTGGCTTGATTCTGGCTGTTCGTACGCGAATCGGGTTAAGGTCTATTAGGTCTAGCTGGCTTTGGCGAGACTGGGTCTAGCGGGTCTGGTTCTAGCTAATCTGGTTCTGGCTAATCTGGTTCTGGCGTTGCTGGTTCTGGATAATCGGGCGCTGCTGGCGGCGATCGTGGCGCTGGAGTAGTTTAATATAATTATCGTATTCGAGATCGAATAGAGTATCATAAGATTGCTCGAGGATCTGGCGTAATGTAGGCCGTAGGCCACGGTGTAGGGTAATCGTACGAAGGAGATCTTGCTGATGGACCTTAGCTTTATGCGATAGACGTTCGAATCGGGCGAGGTAGGCGACTAGGCTTTCGTCGTCTTTCTGGCGGATATTGGCGAATCGTAGCACTGTATCTTGTTTCTCACGAGGGTTATAATAAAGACGTTCGAAGTACTAAAAGACTGCTTCGGGTGTTGGGTTGGTTTCGCGAAGATGTAAGACTGAGGCTTGCTGGGATAGCTCGAGGCGATCGTAAACGTAGTTAAATGCTGGTTGACCGACTAAGCCGTCCGACCGTAGCTTTGCTTGAATAGCTGGAAGCCACGTCTTTAGACTAAAT